TATACATAAATATACTATATAAAATATACATAATATAAATATAAATATATGTATACATATAAATTATGTATATTATATATGTGTACATATAAATATATGTATATAATATACATAATATACATAAATATACATAATATAAAAATATAATAATAAGAGGAAGAAAAAATAAAAGAATATATATATATATATTTACTATGTGTGTTCTCCGTCCGAAATAGTTTATTCCCGTAAAGTTTGTTATCTTCCGATTCGTAATTCGGCGTATATTTTATTAGCGATTAACACGCTTACGACGTTCAATCAAGTATTTTGAAATAGCAACGTGTTATCATTGCTTTTACTATTATAATATAAAATAATGTACGAAATATTTTTATTATTATATAATCAGTAGTAGTAGTAGCAGTAGAAGTACAGTTGAAATAGTATATAGTGGAATAACCGTGAAAGGGAAACCACGTGAAAAGATAACGCTCATAAGTAGTGCGAAAATGAATTCATGTTTTAATGTATATTAAAATAATATAATATATAAGTCTTCATCAATTATTTTTGACAAAATATTCCACAAAATCTTATTTTTTATCGTATATTTATATACTAATTATTATATGTATCAATTATATTTATTATTCTTTATGCAATTTTGAGACAAATGTGTATCAACATCGTATTTAATTCGGATCACTGTGAGACCTCTATGACCATGTAAAAAAGATCTACATATGAGAGACTGAAAAATATGAGGACACATTTTTAACTAATATTACCTACTCCACCCAAACGAAACCCATTGATATGTTATGACCAATGCAAGCTTATACAATTATTGGATGCATGGTGGGGACAGTCGTTTTCACTTGTAGTTGATATTTTGTCCATACTTGTCGCCGCAATCACGCACGCTCTTGAGAAAGATGAGATAGGTTTTTAAGGTTAGTATTTCTTTTTATATTTGTCGAATGGCGTATTCTTACAAAGTCTTTAGTTAAGGTACTAATTGCTTCTTATATGTCATATTATGCATTATTTATGCCATTCATTTAATGAATCTTTCAATAAATTTTCGGCCTTGAAACCAAAATTAGCACGTTGAAAGTTTATTAAATGATATTCGTTTGTAGAAATTAAAAACTAACCTCTAAATATGAGTTTAATTGAAAGATTTTAACGCGTCAAGAAATAAAGTGGATCAAATTATTTTTAAAGTAAAGCATAATAACTTGAAGAAGTTGATACTGGAACCTTTCCGTTATATTATTCGTTGTAATTAATTGGTTTTATTAATAGTACTACTTATTCTTAACAATTATTTTTATTAGCTATTATTATATCCAAAATACATTTTATTTCAGATCGACATTTAATAAGACGTTTTTACTTGGTATGAAGCAGTGTCTTACAAGGGAATATACTATATTTATCATTGAAAGAGGATAAAAATAAAGTCTGGAAGACCATATTGTTAAAATGTGGGAAGGACAGAAGATTTTTAGAAAGAATAATAACGGATCTGAGTCACAATCGTCAATCAGAGAATTGACAAAATATTTTAAAAGAAGTATTCTGTTAATTGATAATATTATAGTATTGGTATACAGTTTATCAGGAAGCAAAATAGAATTTAATAAATATTCCATCAAATAAATAATTCTGTTATGATTTTTGTAAACCGCAAGTTTTTTCTTTCATTCCTGGTAAGAAAATATGAGATGATAATGACTTTATTATTATTATTATTAAATGAAATATTTGCATCAAAAGTGTATTTTTTCTTTACTTTCAAATTATGTCAATGTATGACTAATATAATGTACAACGTTCCAGAATTGGCCAACCATTGATGCTCAGCAATCTGTTACTTCATTTAAGAATAAAAGATGATGACGTCGATCCAGAAATGTATCATTATGCACTGGATTATTACTATGCTAAGGAAATGAACGCAACAAAGGAATATTCCATTGTGCAATAGTTTGGATTGGCTTTCAATTGGTATATACCAAGAATCTGTATTTTCATCTCGATTCTGTTCTCGCTGGTAATTATTAGATCCTGAACAAGAATGTCGCCACGATAAGATCATGCCTCAACAAACTGTTCAATCCTCCATGACTACTAGATTTTCATTGAATAAGAACGATTATTATTTGTATGAAAATAGAAAAGAAAAATATCTTAAGGTTCAGGGATATTATTCGATAATATGTATTCGTCAGTTAATCGATGGTTTCTCGTCGAAAGATTCATTATATTCTCTACCGAAAGATTCATTATGTATGCGAAGATTGAGAAAAGCAAGAGAACTATCCAAGAGATCATCGGAATCATCTGAAAGGATATTGAAGAACATACAGATGAAGACAGAGTAAATTTATTTATCGAATTTGCTAGCCTTATAACAATCGTAGAAGAGGAGAAAAGCAGTTTATTACAAATGATGCTTAAAGAAAATGTCACTGAAGATTGTGCGGAAACCAATGATAAGATAGCTCATATTGATTAACTGTCATGGAATTTTGTTTTATCTATCATACGGAACATATTTTCTGGTAATTGAATGTGGAAATTGGTTTGTTTCATGGTGGTAGAAGAATGATCGTTGATGAAAGAAGGATAAGATGTCGACCACGTTCTTGTATCAATCTTGCTATGGCAATTTATCCTCACACGTACGTTTATCTATTCAATGGATCAATTTAGCAGTAGACGCTTCGGTAAGTAAATGTATCGTCGAGCAGTGCAAATATGTGGATATCTGAAAAAGAAAATAATCATCTTAGGGATCCATCAGTTAAAGTTTCTGTATTTTCAGTTTCCAAGCTTTTTATGGAAAAGAACAAAAAGTCCACATGCTATAGCATCATCGAAGGTTCGAGAGATTGATATCTACAATAACGATAGTAGGAAGCGTAAACCAAAGCATTGGCTTATTTGAAATTTTTATTTGGCGATAAATTGAACGATTGGAACTAAAAAGTGATTAAATTTATTGTCAGGTTTTTCATTAACTAATTATTTATCATATTATGAATAAAAGTTCGATCACTGAATACGTAAGTCATCGTTATAATATCTATAGCATTAAACGCTGAGAAAATTTTCATCAGCGAATTCGACAATTATTTTTTTCGAATTAAAAGAAGTAAGCGAATAGATGATTGCCGGATTGTATTCTCAAATGTTTGAAGGAAGTATGAATTAAAGAGTCAGCTGAAGGTTCAATTTAACGTGTATGATTTGTCCAGTCGTTAGGAACAAAATAAGAATTAGTTTTATTAACATTTGAACCTTTTTAACATTTAATAAAATAAAAGTTGTTATCAACCAGAAGCTTAAAATCGCATTTCTTCAATATCTATCGACTTAAAATGAAGAAAATGATACGACTCTGATTTCAAATGATTTGCCTCTCGGCTCTTTTTGCTATTTAAGATTTTTCAGGTGGTTGTCATTCCCTTGGGAGTTAGACTAAAGAAAAATGAATTGATTATGATCAGGACCAATATTGACCAGATCTGATGTTTTTTGAAAAGGTCATTAGATTTTATAATAATCCTAGTGGACACTTTTCGTTTGAACACTCTGTGTATGTATTTAGGTTACATAGGATGACCGATATCTTTCCATTTTTATCATTTTATTTTTCTTCTTGTTTTTGTGTCCTTATGTATGATCTTTTTCTGTTATTAAAAGTATTTTATTTTAACGATTAGTAAATACAATATATAATGTATAACGCGTCGATAGAATTATTAAAATGAGATAAATTAGTCGTCCTGGATGTTTATGATTTGCAATAGTTTTGTTGTGCAATTCGTCTTCACACCGATTTTTGAGAGAAAGGAAAAGGATGCGTAAGATAACAATATTATTATAATAGTAAGTAGACAAGGATTCATTATTGCATAAATCTGTTGAATTACAACCTGTAATACGTCGAATCGATATAAATAACTAATGTAAGAAAAATAATTCGAAATGATTCTTATAGAAGCATTTTATTAATTCATCAGTTTTCTTCTTAACGATCTCTTTAGTTGGTGTTAGAAGTAATGAATAAATAAAAAATGAGATTTCTTTTTTATGGATAGGTAATAACATGATTATCGTTTTATTTTGAATAGTAAAATGTAAATATTTACAATAATAAATGACAAAGATTTTTTTGGACAGATATTTTTTTGGAAATGTAGTTTTTCTTAACTTCCGTCAATTTACGTGATTCAAATTGTGTCCAAATTCTTGATTTCGATAAATTCATTTCTAAATTGATTGTTCAAAGCGATGTCGAATTGAAAGTTCTTCGGTATATATTATTTATAGTACGCACACACACACACACATTATATATGTAATATGTGTGTGTATATATATATATATATATATATATATATATATATATATTTCTAATAAATGCTGTTATTAAAAATATTAAAAATATATGTAGAAAAATATAGGTCCGGTAATGATTAACATAGATTGCCAAAAATACACTGATGCATTAAATATGCTCTCTGTGATCTCATCAGTCAAGTAGTAATAAATTTGTTGAAAATTACTAAAATTTTATACTTATCAAAGGTCATTTTTCGTTTATGGTGCGTAAATTTCACATCACTGTCAATATTTTCTTGCAATTAATCCTGTTGCGTATCGGATGAAAATTCTATGCATTGCGTCTTTAATTAAAATTAATTCATTCATCCTAGCTAGTTTTACTTATTTCTTTAAATAAATTAAAATTTTTTTGTCTTATCTACAAGACTGTTTATCAATCAATCTACTTTAAAGTAGAAACTTTGAATTTTATGAATATCATGAATATTCGATCTTACTTTTTGATTGGTCTAAATACTATTAGATAGATTATTTTTCATAACTTAATTTTCATCGAACTAGAACGAGATGAATTTTAGTTGATAAAAGTAAATGAAGTTAATAAACAATGTCACTTGTACGCAATATTTTTTAGATATAAATAACAGAATTATTTATATTGACTAATGTATTTAAATTATAGCATCGTTATATTTGTGTACGCACAGTTCGATATGAGTAAAGCTAATACCATATATCTACAATAGCAAATAAGTTCGAATACCATTATTTTTATCGTAAAAAGAATTTTGGAAATGAATAGAGTAATATTATTATTAACAATTTCCATTATTATAATTTTATATTATATACAGTGTAGAGAAACGATAGTATTCCTATACGATGTCTTTTTTCTCACGTATATTCGTTGTAATGAATTATTCACAAAAATACAAAAAAGTAATTGTCACAATGCTAATATCATATATACTGTTACGTCATATTACTTTGAGGACTTTTCTTAAACTGTTATATAAATGTTTATTAAGAAAATATATTTTTATTTACACGTTAAACATATATAAATTTATATCTTTTCGTGAGATATTTATTGAATTTACTTGAATATACTTCAGTAAACTATAAATTCTTCGATTGTACTAATCAAATTATTCTGGCCTTACTTACTGATCTCTGATATCATCAATCTCTGAGATCATAGAGCTTGTTCGCAGGAACGATATAAAATCAACTCTATTACCATTTCAAAAATAACGACAGCATTGCGGCATAAACAGTGCGTAGTTTCATAACATATTGCGAAATAAACCATTTACTGGGTTGAAACCAAAATTGTCAATCGTTAAAATATTAGAAAAATAAAAAGTTGACTTTATTAAGATACGATACAATACCGGTAGGGAATACAATTAAAACTTTTTAATTTTCAAAAATTATCCTTTTTCCTTGTTGGAATATTTATGATAAAAGAAAATCAATAAAAGGAAACGAGCAAAAGTAACAAATAGCGTTACATGTTGCACTCGTAATACGTATATCCAAATCCAAAATTCTAGTCGACTATTTAACAAATGGAATCCACATACTTGGATACGCACATCTTCGTTCTCTCTCTCTCTCTCTCTCTCTCTCTCTCTCTCTCTCTCTCTCTCTCTCTTCTCTCTCTTCTCTTCTCTTTCCTTCTTTCACTACCACTTTTTCCTATCATCAACCATTCTCCCTTTCTCCTTGTCATTCTTTCTCGTTCGTGACATAAGTGATTTCTCCTTCCGATTGCTTTATTCGATAGCTTCTTTTATTGATCAGAGCGCATTGTTAACAAATATAACATTAATAAATGGAAAAATTTGAATAAAGAATTTAAAAAACAAATCATATATTTTTATTAATTCTTTTACCCATATTAATTATATGAAACTGCCATTAAAACATTCTGGAAGGCTTGTCCATCGAATGATTTGAAAATCACCTCAAGTTTTTTATTAATTGCTATGGCTCAATGGCACGCAGAGGGCTATCAGTTTAAAACCGGTTGTAATAAAAAAATGCTTCTAAATTATAGAACTAGAATCGTAGATAGTAATATTGGACATAACTACGTTATAAGAAAGTTTTCAGTTTTATAAGCATAATCATATATTTTAAAATTTTTATTCTTCTATTGAATATTTTTTATATTTTATATTTCTATTAATAATAACGAATTTTGTGCGTAATAATAGATAATATGTAGCTAAAATAAATACGCAGAAAGTCTATAAGAGCGAAACCATTCACCAAGATCTCATTATTTGATATGATTTGATATAATTAATAATTAATTGATAAGTTAACCAGTGAATGAATGTAACGATTGATACTTTGCCGCATCACATAAATTATTGGTTTTTTGTTCAAGTTGTACTGATAATCGTTCATTTTGCATTGTCTCACATATTTCAGTTATCTTTAATGTCTATATAACATTTTTAATGTTTTCATTCAAATTGAACCATCTTTTTTGCACATTTTGTATGATCGATGATACGATATTATCGTCGTGCTAAAGTTCATTCAATAAACAGAATGCAACGCCTTTTTCGTTTATTTAATCGAATTTGCGTTAATAAGCGAACTGAAGCATAAGATAATTCTACAATTTATCAGAAAAATGGAAAACCAAATTCGGAAATTATATCTTCATAGGCTGATTCCAGATTCCACTAATACAATATTGTTATATATACATGTATATATGAACTATCCTAACACGCTTACAATCAATAAACATCATTACTTTCCTTTACCTGCGCTTTCTCACTTGAATTTTTTAGAGACAAGCAAGTGAGAAAGGCATTCAGGCTTTAGGTGGCTGATATTTAACCCGCCTGCAATATATTAAGATAATCAAGTGTTAGTAGCAACGCTGTTCATGCCTCCTCACTCGGAGGCAGCTATCACAAGAATGAAACACGTATATCGCAACCTTTTCATCTCAATACATCGTTATAAATTATTAAATTACATGAAATACATCGTTACAGATTAAAATCACGAAGTAAATTTTAGCGCGCATTTATCTTATGATCTCTACAGGATCCTTCCAAGGAATTGTGTTCTTCCATTAATTACGCGTTGATTATTACGCGTTGAGTGATATTTCGCGGAAATCGACAGTCATCACTGGCCGTTCTAATAATCGCAAAAATGTCTCTAATTAAATGCCTGCCGTTAACCGACAATCTGTATAATGGTTACCCGTTATACCAGGGGTCACTAATGAAGATTATTATTTACCGATTCTCGATGAAGTAGATCTCTTTTTTTTTTTTTTTTATAATAGAGTAATGATGAAACAGTTATTCGTTATCGATTGATGATAAAGTATCAATCAACAACCAAGAAGTCTCCTTTTGAACGATGGTCGTAATCACAGCCCTTTGCTACTGACTAATGGTTAATTAGATACTTACTTTATCAACAGTCAGCAAAGTAGATCCCTATTTAACCACCAACCTGTACTGAAGATTTTTTTGGTGACCTTCGGTTAAGTAGTTTACTTCATACCATAAATCGTTGATGTAAATTCTTGTTTTGCCATCATTCTATATTAAGATAACTCTTTTATTAGGTGTGAGAAAAGTCTGTCACTGTAGGATCTGTTTAATTTTCCTTCGTTTTATTTTTTGAGCAGGTGACGGGATAAAATAACTATAATTTTTTATTAACAAGTACATATATTTGATAATTATAGAAAACCATTTTAGTGTTCGCACAGATAATAAAAGATAATAATATATTATTTTAAACTACTAAAACAGAATATGCTTAAATCTATCCATTTAATTATGGAAGCGATCAATCCCAAATAAGTAGTGCATGCACTTGAAAGATTTAGATAAGTATAATAAAACTACTCTGGAAAATTATTTATTATCACACATGATTTTTGCAAAGAATAAAACATTTTCCAAAAATCTGATGAAATAATCTCGTGTAAAATAACCTTATCTTTCGAATGAGTCTTTGTTAACCAAAATCGGACAAATATTGTATAATTCATGACATAAACTCGTTTTATTAATAATCTACTTCATTTCTCTTTTCTTTGAATAAAATTTATTATTCTATAGGAAAGAGAAAAGATAATATCGTACACAAAATATTATATTTCATATTCCATTATGATTTGTAATACATAAATGTAATATAATTAAATGTTTCATAATTTAAACTTATTTCTAAATTGTATAATGTATATACGTATGGAATCTTATGTCCTCTCGTGTTACTACAGTCCTAAACGATTTACTATATATTGTGGTAAACAATAAATCGGATCTACTTCATTCAATGGATAATCAGTATGCATTAACAATAATGTAGCAAGTCCAAATAATGTATAAATAGTATCAGCGATACCATTACGTCTATCGCCAAATCCTCCAGTATCAATATCTTGACAGGTTAAAACTTTATCTACCTATAGTATAAGAAATGAAAATACTTGCATACGGTAGGAAGTGTTTAACGTACCTTTAAAAAATTATTTTTTAATTACACGTTCAATGTCGTACAGTTCAACGGTGAACAACTCTCAATTTATTTATATCGTAATGGACCACACAAACTTTCATCTGTTCATTCGCTCGACACTCGATGGTCGATATTGCCGAAGTAAAAGAACTGATGTGCTTTCTCGCACTTTATTGAAATTGCATTCCATAAAGTTATATAAAATGCATATAAACATTGATTTTATTTTTTTAGGTCAAATATTCGTTATGCAAGAAACGAAGGTAATAATAGCTGCTTTGATAAGAAGATTTATTATTAAAATAGATCAGTCAAAAACAATTGAAGAAATTTTGTTAAGAATGAATGTTACGTTAAAGCTACTATATTCGATGCGTTTGACGATAAATTTATAATATAAAATCTCCATAAAAACGTTTTTTTAAAAAGTATATGGCCCATAACATTATTTTATATTTATTGTGACCGATACAACAGAATCCGTCTGTAAAAAAGAATTTCGTCTTGTTTATATACTTTTCTTTTTAATGGTCAATTAAAGAAATCGTTAAGAAGTAACCTGATGAATTAATGAAGTTTTGCTAGAAGTATGTGCGCAACATCATCCAAATCTAATCGATCATTGGTAGAATGAAAAAGTGAGAAACAAAGAGGGAAAAAAAGAAAGATTGAGGTAATGATGGAGCGGGTGAGAAAGATGTAAGTATAAGAGTGATAGAGAGAGACAGAAAAGAGAGAGAGAGAGAGAGAGAGAGAGAGAGAGAGAGAGAGAGAGAAAGAGAAAGAGAAACATGTATGTAAGATAAAATATGCATAAGATAAGTGTTAGAAAAAGGCGATGATGACAAAAAAAATTCTTTTATATAGTAAGTGGATAAAATTCCGAAACAGTCCAAAAGATTCTCATAAATTCATCAAAAAAACAAATCTCAGAAAATATCAGCATATTAAACACGTGTTTGAAAAGACCGATCAATGTCATATACGGAATCCCTCATATAATATCTTATATTTTTGTAGTTGAATAGAATATATTTCCAAAATGATACTAACTCATTACTTTCATGCCTAAATCAATGTTGACGGGCCGCTATGTAGAAAAATCGATTGTGCAACTTCTATGTTCGAACGTCGTTTGTAATATTAATGCCGGTGTTACTGTAAAATCTTATAAATAGAAAAATGAGTAACGAAAAAATATTTTATTACAGTACTATGGAAATATCATGATTTCGGCTATTGATATTTTCGTTTAAGAAACTGGTGTTTTCATTTAAGATTTTTTTGATGACCTTAACAGGTCTTTGCAAGATCATCCTAAAACCAAATTAAAAATCTTATTCAATTAATAAATTCATTCATATCCAAACCTTTTCATTTCAATATATCATTCTCCAATATATCAATATTTTTTGAGATAATAGCTCATACCGATGATTTGCAAGGTAACTACGAAGTAGATGAATCCTATTAATTTTTATTGGTTTCATCGTTAGTTAACGTTTTTCTTATCATGAATTTCAGATTTGCAGAAGAATATTTTTATGTAGTTACAATAGAATGCAGATATTATCAAATTAAAATATAAGACAATTTTGCATCGTATAAGAAAAATGGAAAACCAATTTTGGAAATTAAATACTCATAAATTGATTCCAGATTTCATTAATACGATATTGTTGGGTGTGTGTGTGGTATGTTCGTATATATCAAGAGGTGTTTATTCGACAAATATATTACAAGGATTTTTATTCAAGTTAATATTCATATATTTAAACTGAGATACATTCAACAACTATTGATAGGATAGAAGTCTGTTGCGTCTATAACAGATAATTTTAATTATTTATTAAGCTAACGTGCATATTAAATAATAAAGTTGCGTGTTTACGCAGAATATTCGTTTTTAATAATTATAAGAAAAAAATTCATAATATGCATATACTATTCATGCAAAGTAATAATAGAAACAATTATAGATTATATAATTCACATAGGAACAGTAATAATTAATTATTGAGACCTTCACTACTTTGTACTACATGGTATAATTCAGTACTAACGATTGAGATTATGTATCTTTTGCCGGTAAAATTTTCAGTGATATTATTTTCTTTACAGTTTTTCAAACGAGTGAAATTTATTTTGACATTTATTGGTAATCAATTAGGAAGAATTATTATCTATCTCCGAATTATTGAAGTGACTAATCGACTCTGAACGAGTAATCACCCAGCGACTGTTGCCGACGAGCGCCCGAATCGCGTCATCGGTTTCGCCCTCGTACTCGTCAATACTTTTATATTTATAATAATTAATAATATTAATATATTATTTAATAGTAATATTTATTTATTAATTATATGAAGTAACAAAAAGTTATATTATACGTAAAGAAAAATTGGTAGAATTTTTCATCGGAATTGGAAATATTGACCACCGACTTTAGAATTCGATCCGGATAGGTTTTCACCAAAGAAAAATAATTCGATTAATTTTCTAAAACCGGCGGGATCAATAAAAACAAAATTTGAAAAAAGAAATTAATTAAAGCATATCTATGGATTATGTATAAATATTATAACTAAAATATACGTATTCTATGAGTAATATTATACAATCCGCAGCAGAAACAATTTATTGCCTGTAAAAATAAAAACTCTACAAACATAGTCTACTAGGATCTCATTATATCATATAATTTGATATAATTAATACATAGTTATTAAACAACTTGAAGATAATTCTTATTGCTGACTTCAAAATTCTTATAAATTAATATTTTTATAGATTAGTAAAAATTAAAAAATGTATCCATCTAAGTATTCTTTTCTGTACTCTTCTTTTAATTACGTTTTTCTACGTACGATATGCCGTGGGGCAATGTATTAATTTTCTGGTATTGATATAAGGAATATTGGAATGACTGAAATCAAACGATCTAAATGATCATTAACTGAAAGAGCAATACTAGCATTCAATTCGTAATGAGACATTAGCATTATACTATCGAATACAACGTGAATGGCGATATCTTAATATTATAATATCTGGATATTGATCTTTTTTTCAAATAGTATATGGTCCATAAAAAGATATTGAAATCGATACAACAGAAACTATTTGTGAAAAAAAAACCTCGTATTATATATTATACAATATGGTATAATATTGTATATTATACTTTTAATAATATTCTATATTATATATTATAATTTTTAACAGAGAATTAGAGAGATCATTAAAAAGAAACCTAATGATTTAATAAAGTCATCCTGTAAATTTGGCAACACTAATAAGTTTAATTGCTCAATTGAAGAATGAAAAGGAGAAAAAGAGAAAGAAACAGGAAGAGAAGGTTGATGAGGTAGGTAGGCAAAAGAGAGAGAGAGAGAGAGAGAGAGAGAGAGAGAGAGAGAGAGTGATTTAAAAAAAAATTGACAGGAAAAAAGGAGATACATATTATCAGCATATCAAAATTGTTTCAATTATGTATACAATAAGTTATGTTTATTATTGAGCTGTTTTCTTTCTCGATGCTTCTGGTTGTGAGCGTCGTCGTACCTTGAATATTTTCTTAGTTTACTTGTGTGTGTGTGCTGAAAGGCGTATATAATTGATAGATACATTATCATGATTTTAATTTAAATTAATACTTATATCTTTAAATAGAAGTACATTCTCAATGAACGATAGGTTAAACTACTGTTTTATCGGTACTCGCTAATATAGATATATTTTTTATATAAATGTTCCATTGCAGTTAAAGAACGGGAAAAAATGTGAGGAAAAGAAAGATGATAGTGGTGAGGAAGAGAGACAAAGTGAGAAAGAGAGGAAAAGAGAAAGACAGAATGAGAAAGAGAGGAAGAGACATGAAATAAGAGGAACAGGAAAAGAGAGACGTCCATACGATCAGCATATAAAAATTGTTATAATTATATATATAATAATCGATGATTGATATCCATTTTTGTTTCTTCTAAGGGTTCCTGGCTATGAGTATAGTACCTATTACTTGTGGAAACTTGTCTTGAGATAATGTAATTATGAATGGTTGTATTTTTTCTCTTTCTCGCTTTCGAAATCAGAATACTTATATCGAATACATAAAGTTTAATAGATAGACCAATATATCTCTTTTTAATAACTCTATCGACAAGTTACATGCTTCAATGATCAACGTCAATGCACACCAATATTCATTTCAACAAAATACTTTTAGTATTTTTCATTCATTCGATCAGCCATCTGTGCTTTTTGGAACTACAGCCGAATTTTCTTAAAATATTTCCTTTACAATATTATAAGATTAATTTTCTTAAATTCTAGCTTTAATTATCAATTATAATTAACTACTAAATTCTTAATAAAAACTAAATAAAGATATAAATTAATAAATTTTAATTATTAATAACAAAAAACTACATTGAACACTAATTTATATGTCTCCTGTGTTAAAATTTTCTAATATAAAGATCTGAAATAATAATTAATATTAATCAGTTTAGTAATAGTATACTATATTATTTATTATATATATATTTGTATTAACATAAAATACAAATCAACCACACAATGAAAATTTATTCTTTTTCTTTCTTATTTAATAATTTAATAAAGTGTTGCTATTCAATTTCTTATATTTATTTCCTTCACTGATAATTGATGTCGTTTTCATATTTATATTTATTACAAATGTCTTCTGCCCGAAAGTGTTAAATCCTGTAAAGATCGTAATCTTCCAATTTGAGAATCGGCAGGTATTTTAAAAACACAACATGCTTATCATTATCTTTACTATTATAATGTATAATATACATAATGTATATAATATTTAAGTATGTTTTTATTATTATTATTATTATTATTATTGTTATTATTATTATTATTATTTTATTATTATTATTATTATTATTATTATTATTATTATTATTATTATTATTATTGTTATTATTATTATTATTATTATTTTATTATTATTATTATTATTATTATTATTATTATTATTATTATTATTATTATTATTATTATTATTATTATTATTATTATTATTATTATTATTATTATTATTATTATTATTATTATTATTATTATTATTATTATTATTATTATTATTATTATTATTATTATTATTATTATTATTATTATTATTATTATTATTATTATTATTATTATTATTATTATTGTTATTATTATTATCAGTAGTAGTAGTAGTAATAGTAGTAATAATTATAGTTGAAGTAGTAATACTTGAAGTAGTACAGAATGGAAATTTCCCATGTAAAAGAAAAGACGTAAAAAAAGAAAGGATTTCTATCTCTAATGTGGAAAAGAATTCATATTTTAATTTATATTAAAATAATATTATATGTTGAACAGAACATTAGACAAAATTTTGTTTTTTGTCGCAATTTTATATACTAGTTATTACACGCGTCAATTATATTTATTATTCTTATTATTATTATTTGGCATGAAACAAATATGTACCGACATCGTATTTAGCACAGAACACTCCAAGATACATGTTACCATCAAAAAAATATATCTATATGAAAGTCCACTGAGTATCACAATATATCTATATGAAAGTTCACAGCTAATTAGCTTTATTTACACTAACCTACTCGAAGCCAATTGTAAAATGCGCGAGAGAGAGGTATAAAACAAGCATATTTCATCGATACCACAAACGGCATGGTGGGGACAGTCATCATCTTGTACCGTTGGTGGGGATCGTTTTATGCTTGTAGTTTATATTTTGTCCATACCAGTCGCTCAAATCACAAACGTTTCCGGCGAAAGGTGATGTGTAGTTTTTAGGTTAGTTTTTTTTTAATATTTAAAAATGATGTGTTGTTTTCTAACAAAATTTTTAATTAATATAGTAAATGCTTCTTATATATCATATTATGTTTTATTTGTGTCATTCATTTGCTAAACCTTCTAATAGGTTTTTCCTTTAGAAACCAAAATTAACACATGGAAAATTTATTAAGATATTCGTTGATAAATACTAAAAATTAACCTCTAAACATGAGTTTAATCGAAAACTTTTAACGTATCAAAAACTTAACCGATTTAAATTATTTTGACAGTAAAGCATATTAACTTGGAGAAGTTGATACTAAAGTATCAGAAGCTTTTTATCATGTTATTGATTCTAATTGATTGTGTTTAATAATACTACTTACTGTTAATAATTATTTTTATTAGATATTATTTCCAAAGCACAAATTGTCTTTCAGGTGGACATTTAGTATGATGGTTTCTTGTTATGAAGGAGCGTTACAAGAGAATGAATTATATTCATCATTGAAAGAGTATCAGAATAATGTCCAGAAGACGACATTGTTAAAATCTTGGAACATGAGAATAATTCTAGAAAGAAAGATAATGGATCTGAGTTACATTCGTACAGGGAATTGAGAAAATGTTTTGAAAGGAGTATCATATTAATTGGTATTATATTAGCGTTCATAGATAGTTTATTAGCAAGCAAGATAAAATTTAATAAATGTCTATCAAAAAGATAATCCTGTGGTATTATTTTTATAAATTTCAAATTTTTTTTTATTCCATACAAGAAAATATCAAGTGAGAACAATGCCAAGTAAAATATTTCTAAAGAAAATATATTTCTTTATTTTCAATTTATGCTAATGTATAAATATTATGTCCAATGTTTCAGAATTGTCCAACCGTCGATGATCAAAAATCTGTTAGATCAATTAAGTACACAAAAAGAAGTCGATCCAAAAATGTATTACTATGCTGCTGTTCATCTCATTTACTTTTACAGATGGATTTGTTTTCTATTTAAGTTTCCAAGACTGCTCACATTTTGGAAAAGAGTGAAAGTAGCCTGCTGCACTTTTATTAATAGAACTATGTTCGAATTAGTTTTCAAAGATGGAACATTGACTGAAAAAGTAAGAAATATTATTTTGTTTCTCCCAATTTGTTTAATGAATAATAAAATAGATTAAAAAGTTATTTAAACTAGCTAACATTGTAAAATATTTGTTTTTAAATTTAATTTCATTAAAAAATAAAAGTCCTTTTATCTTTTCTGGCATTTGAATGTTATGTGTCACGAGAGTCTGTTTTTTCATTTTAATTCTGATTTATATTCTCCCTGATAACAACTAGGTCCTCACAAAGAAAACTCCATGACTACTGGATTTTCATTGAATAAGAAATTGTTATTCGTATGAGAATCGGGAAGAAAAATATCTAAGGATTCAGGAATATCGTTTGATAGTACGTATCCATCAGTTAGTCGATGGTTTCTCGTCTATACGTCATATTGGAAGATTCATTGTACATGCAATGATTGAAAAAAACAAGAGAACTATTCAAAAGATCATCAGAATCATTCGAAGAACATTTATCATTCTGATGAATATGGGTGCAATAAATATGTAGAGATGAAAACAGAGTAAATTTATCTATCGAATCTGATAGCCTAATAACAATTGTAGAGGAGAAGAAAAGCAGTTTATTACAAATGGTACTTAAGGAAAATTGCAGTTGAAGATTTTGTGGAAAGTAGTGGTAAGGAAGCTTGTTTGTTAATGGTCATGGATTTTTGTTCCAGCAATCATACTTTTTAGTCATATTATGGATAAATTTCGTTAGAAGGAAATTATTTAGATCTGCTAATTGAATGGGGAAAATGCTTTGTTTTATTATGGTAGAACAATTGTTGATGAGAGAAGAATAAGTTTGAGATGTAGACCACGTTCTTGTATCAATTTTCTAATTTATCCTCAAATGGATATTTGTCTATTGAATGGTTCACTTTTAGCGGCAGATGCTCCGACAAGTAAATGTATCGTTGAGCAGTGCATATGTGAGTATCTATAAAACAAGATAATGATCTTAGGGATCCATCAGTTACAGTTTCCAAATTGTGCTGATGAAGTGATCCGAATACATGATGGCTCTTTGTAGATCAAAATTAATTTTAATACTCTCAAAGCTTCTGGTGTTTATTTCACCAAATTTGTAATTTAAAAGAACAAAGAATTCACATACAAAAGGATGATCGAAGATTCAACGGATTGATATAGATAATAACTATAGTAGGAAACGCAGACATCACCTTCGAGATGTTTATATGGTGATAAATTAAACGATTGCAAGGAATGAGTGAATTGATTTATTGTAATGTTAAAGTATAAGCTTATTCATTAGCTAATTGATTATCATGTTATTAACATGATAACAAAATGTTATTAACAAGTTTGGTGGTCGATCACTGATCTCTAATCACGTAAGTCAACGTTGTGAGGTTTGCCGACAATTAGTACATTAAACGCCGAGAAAATATTTATCATCGAATTTGGCAATCATTAAAAAATTCTTTTGGCTGTTTCATCTTTATCTTGGATTCATGAGTTTCAGCATTTATATTAAATTAATCTCTTTTGTTTAAAGTTCAGTCATAATCGTATTTTTCCTCTTCTTGAAATACACCGTAATCAGTTGTATTTGTAATCAGACAAATGACTATGCCCGTATACATAATATGGAGAGATGTGATATAGATGGTCGGGGAAGAAAATTTGATTTCGAACTTGGTTAAAAGAAACCTCAAATATAATCATTTGCAGGAAAAATCAGTGTTAAGTAATGATCCGAAATTCAATTGATCAAACTAAAAAAGATTGAATACAGTACGATCTTATCGAATTTAAATATGTGAGACTGAACTATGGAATGATGAAACCATATATTATGAAGAATATAACGTTCATGATTATTTCAGCAGAGAAGATTGGTATCTGTAATGGTTATCTTATATATATATATATATATATATATATATATATATAAATATATATATATATATATATATATATATATATAAATATATATATATATATATATATATATATATATATATATATATATATATATATATATAATATATATATATATATATATATATATATATATATATATATATATATATATATATAAGATTGGTATCTGTAATGGTTCAAAAAATCTCTTTCGATTATTTTCCAATTATCTATTGTGGAAAGGAAATTATAGGAGGAATCTGGTACGAATATTAAGTTGAAAATTTTTTTTAAGTATCTTTTTCAATCTATGATAAAACTCATCTTACTTACTGTTATATATATATATATATTTTTTTTTTTTTGCATTTTTTGTAAAGAAGTACTACCAGGATAAATTTTTTGTTGCTTCTGTAAAATAATAAGCTCTGACCACATCTGCAAAGTCCGTACTTCGTATATACTTTAAATAACCCTCGTTTTCTTCTTCCTCCCTCATTTTCTGGTAAGAGACAAGAATAATAGAAGTCGTTGTACTTTGCCAACATAGTATCCGTAAATTTTAAGAATTATTATTACAATTATAAAAGTATTTTTAAAAAAATTGAATTACGTCTATAATTTTCAATTGATTCAATTCATCATGATATTTGTTGCATCATTGATTATTATTATAATAATACTAATTGAATTGTACTATTCTATAGTACTGAATCAAATTTACGGCTCGAGCGATCCGAAATATGTTCCAATAATACATGATGATATTAAAAATATGAATCTTTTGAACCAAGTGATCAAGAAAATGTTACGGCTTTTTCCATTAGGCCCAATCATCGGTCCTAAAGCAACGAAGGATATAAGTGCTATCTCTATATATGAAATGATAATATTGTATTTTTTTTATCATTGATAGTATTAATATTAATTAATATCAATATTTATTTATGAATAAATAGTAATATATAAAGTGGAAGAAAATTGGGCGATACCAAAAAGATGTTCTGTCATATTTTGAACCTCTAAAATTCATTGGAATCAGAAATATTGGAACAAATCATTGAAATTCGATTCAGATGGGTTTCTATCCTGCAATGTTCATTCTTACAATTTTTTACGATTCGGCATTGGAACTAGAAATTGCACTGGTAATTCTATATTTTTCCAGATTATTGAAATCAAATTCCAAAAAGTTACACAATAACATTTATTTACAATTGTTTTCATTTTTTTAGGTCAAATGAAGGTATGCTACAAATGAAATTATTCCGTTGTATGTGTTTCTTGATAAGTCTTTAGATTTTTCTTTAATATTTCCATGATTCACAAAATCTTTTTCGGTTTTATGCAAGAAACATTTTGGGAAATTATTATTGTTTAATTCGTTGAAAATTTTGCATTTGATCTTCTATGTTTATTATATTTATTCGTTTATTTATTAAGAATATGTTATGTCACTCTGACAGAAATTCATACAATCAATGAATTTTTTCAGTATTTGTTGTGTACATTTTTATAATACCATTTAAAGGTATCAAGTGTTTCTCAATAATATTATATTGTAAATTATAATGAACAAATTCATCTTTCCATTCTAAATTATGATGGTTATTTATTAACTATCTGCAAATATAATTATTACATTATTTATTATGTAATTATTTATATAAAAAATAATTTTTTAATGAAACTATAAGAAAGATTAGTTTACATAAGAGAAATATAGTTTGATTTTTATAGTTTGCTTGAGAAATATGTCATATTATTTTTCCGTTGTTTGGCAAATTTAGGGAATTCTCATTTATTTCCACGGTTGGTTCCAACAATAGTAGTCCTTTTTGCAAATAATTTTGTGGCCAGTGAAATACTTATTAAAAAACTATCTATTGTTTCGTTCCTTCCGCACCTTGTGAATGGTTTCATCAGCTTGAGAACAACGAACTCTCCAAGTGGAATTCAATATTCTCTTCTCTCATCCTTTCCCAAATAAAAAAATCCATTTATTACATACTTGCTGTTATCAGATGCTAATCAGAATTTTATTCCTAACTTATCTGGTTTGATTTGCATGTACTGTGTAAATCTACACCTAGTCTTAAATGGAAACAACTGCTCATCAATAATAATGTATGCACCTGGTTTATAAGAATTTTGATTATTCTCAATAAATCGGTCTCATATTTTAGATATAGCAAATTTATTAGTTTCTAAACACTAATTTCGCTTCTCTTATCAAATCGTATAAACTTCATAATCCCAGTAAATGTATTCCTGATCATGGTTTTTGAAAAAATGCGGGATTCCATTTTTTATTCTATTAATATGAGATCTAAATTTGTTGGTTCATGTGCGCTTCGAGCATATACCAGAACAATGAATGCATCTTATTTTATTGTATTTAGTTCTCATTTAATTCCCAATACTCTAAATCTTCTTCTTCTATACGCATTCTTATATGTTCCATTATACGGTAATCAATGATCAAAGAAAATGCAGTCTTTATTTTTCTTTTTATGATATGTCGTTTAGTATATCCTGCCGGATCAGATACTTCCCTAAAAATATTATGAACAGGTATCCTTTCAGGTTTAGAACCTTCGTCTATTTCCTCCCAAATTGTTCCATCAGAAACAGTTTCGATATTTTAATTCTTTACATTACTCTTACTCAATATATAAATACTCAATAATAATCTCCTTCTCTTTTGTCTTCGACGCTTATTTATATCGCGATTGGTCGTAACTTTTGATACAAATTTATTAACAAATCTAATATACTAACGGCCAGAAGCCACTACGTATAATCCTGCATGATTCTTGCTTTATGATAACATCGAGAATCAAAAACTACGAATGTTAGTAAAGAAGTGTAGCGCAATTACCATTTGTATGTGGATATTTTTAATATTTATTGTGTGTCATAGTTAATTAAAGTTCCTTTTTTTACTGACCGTATTAACAAATTGAAGTATAAGATAATTCTTCAATGTATAAGAAAAATGGAGAAACCAAATTTGGTAATTAATAAATTCTTGTAGACTTCTCATTAGATTACATTAAAATATTATACATATTATATAAATCGATAAGTGTATATATTTGACAGATATATTTCAAAGATTTTAATTCAAGTTTTATATTATCAAATAAAAGTATATAACAACTGTCGATAAATTACATTGCTTTTATATCTATATCAAATAATGTAGATTTATTTTTTCTATTGAAGATATTCATATGCAATACATTCTTTATTAATAATTTTAGAAAATAAATTTATAACGTGCACATTAATACAAAGTAATAATAGAAACGATTATTGATTAGATGATTTATTCAATAACATTAAAAATTAAATATTCAAACATTTTTCTATTTTGTACTAGGTTGTGCAAGTCAAAATTATCGAGGGAAGTTATATATTTGCAGCCGGTAAAATTTTCTATGATAATAACTATTTTATAACTTTTACTGAAAAATGTAATAATATTTCAACGATCATTAAAGTAAATCAATTAGAAAGAATTATTTACTAATATTGAATTGAAATTGTTCGCCAAGAATTTCTATTGTAAAATTACATATTTCTTTAGGATATATTATCGTTGGACGCTTGCAGACATTATACAATTACACAATTACAAAAACTTTTAGTTATAACAAGAAGGGAGCTTAGTATAAAATAATTATTGTTATTTTCTTTTAAATTTACATATATTATAATAAATTAAGTCAATATGATTGAGTGACTGTCTACCATGTTTACAGAAAGCATTTTACTATTTCTTTCATTTTTTTTGTTTTTTATTTTTTTAATTTATGATATGATTATTATTAAGAAAATCAAAAGAATCATTATTATCATTATTATCTTACAACAGGGACGTTAATATTTTAAGTGTCATGACAACAAATTCGATACAATATCGTATATAATAAATCTCACAAATGTGAGACCATATGACGATAGATTCAATCTTATAATCTTATATTTTTTTGAAATATTCGAAGAAAGTCGACGTTGGTATTCCTGAATGGAATGAAATATTTGTCATTCACCATCTTCGAAATTATAGAAGTTTCATAGAAAAATTGCAAGTAACTTATGTAGCACGAACATGAACTTAGTCATGATAATAGAAAGATTAAATTTATTATTATTAAATATCTACAATCAAATATTTTTACAATACATAATCTGTAGCGCACCGGACGGAGCCCATGATACGTGACACACGTGACGCACTGGATGGAAGCCATAACATACGCCATATGTAACGCACCAAACGTCCATATTGTCGGTAGGTCGAGGCAACGCCTCATCCCCACGGCAGAGCTCCCGTAGGTAGCTTTATCCCCACCACCGACAACGTTACGCTATCACCACGTTAACGTTACATATGACGCCACTCGTTGCTCAATATATATATTTTTTTCGACGGTTATTCTCGGTTATTTTTTTGAAAGTTATTTCCGACATTTATTATGAGTTATTAATAAATTAATATTGTTAAGTTAAAGTCAATGTATCTTAAATAATCTCGGCTGCGCTTCCAACAAAACCTCGCGAAAACTTTTCTAAACTATTTTCAAGTTACATTAATTATTCTCGCGAGTCTCAAGAACTTTCTACCGTGCAGACGACAAGTTGAAAGCTAATAAAAGATATCCTTCCATAAGACGTGAATCCTTAACCTTAAGTTATTCTTTTACTAGGTGGTGCGTACGAATCGCACGAGTTAATATATCCTATTTTGGAATCTTACCTTTATTTATGCCGAGAACATGACGCGGTGGTAAAAAGTACCATTTACACCTACTCGCGTCGCTTTACGATTCGGTTCGTTATCACAAAGATTTGAGAATTGTTCCAACGGTAACTACTGACCAACACAAGGCCGTACCTTACCTGCCTCATATCAAAGTCACGATTTTGTTACGACTTATTCCATTTTATTGAAAATGACGGGCAATTTGTACATATTTAATTTATTATTCAATTTAATTAATTTATTAAATTTACTTTTAAATGCATTTTCATAGAAAAATTAAATTTTTTAATTCAATAATTAAACTAACTGTAACCCATATTAATCTTAATTAAACTATATTTTGATTTGAATTATTTTACTTTATTAAATTTTATAAATTATATTCTATCTAACTTAATTAAATATTAAAAACATATATTAATAAATTTAAAACTAAGTATATCTTATCGTGGATTATCAATTACTATACAAATATACTATCGTCTAAATCTTAAATACTGTCGAATCTTTTAAATTTAATGATTTATCATTTAATTTCTTCTATAATATTTATACATTTATTATCCTAGTTTATTACATAATTTTCATAAAATTAAAATTAAAAAAAATTTTAATAATAATTCATTATATTTCAACAATATTCATACCGACCTATCACGGTCGAGAAGAAGACTTACTATCCGAATCGACTATCGCCGTCCGATCCTCATGTGAAGCTCATCCAAGCAATTCCATATCGCTTAACACCGATCTACATTACGAAGGAGATCGTAGGAATGGAAGCTCGTATTGGTGTCCGTCCCGTGCCAAGAACTGCACATAGCAAGTAACGGTCAAAAAGGATACAAATTTCACAAGAGTAAGAGCACCTCAGATAAGTTCAATAACTTATATATTTTTTTTGAGGCCCGTGGGATATAACAGTAATATTACAGTTGGGTTAATAAAGCTTTCTCCAAAATTCAAAAAGTTATTTCCTCGCTTAAATCTTTATCTTTTAAAATAAGACATTGTTTATCAAAATCGGTCAAAATTACGCTTGGGCTCACTTTGTTCGTGTAAGTCATTATAAAATAAGAGATCATGAACAGTCTTAATTACTAGTTTTAAAGAATGGTTCTTTTTATATATGCATAGTTTATTATCGTCTTAGAATTTTTATTTATAATTAGTATTTATTGTTTGAAAAAGTCTAAGATATTTCATATTTTCCTCCCTTTTGTTGTCAATGAGTCACCCTTCCTCAATTCCATATATGACAGCTCATCACAATTGAGTTCTCCTACCACGTTTTCTCAGAAAGTTCCTAATCGATCTGGAACTATTATCGAATCGTTTCTTGTTGCTAAATTGAGTTTTTCTCACTCTTCTCTCTCTCTCTCTCTCTCTCTCTCTCTCTCTCTCTCTCTCTTCTCTCTCTTATTCTGAGACATATATGTGCCAACTGAACAAATCGAGATTTTATTAAACAAAATTTTATATCCTTCAGATTTTCTTGAAAAAAATTTATCTTTAATATCATGCGAATATACATAAAATAAATTTTTCTTTTTCTTTTATGTAAGATACATTTCGTTGAGATACAATATTTATTTCGGAGTATAAGGAGCGAGATTTTGTTACTTTCGAAATGGTTTTCATTTCTTCTGAATTATTGGTTTACTTGATTCCAAGTTATTACCGAATCATTTATTGTTGACACCATAATCTCTCTTTCTCTCTTTCCCTCTCTTTTTCTCCTTCTCTCATTCTTTCGCATCATATGACTTCCAATTGACGATTGATGCAGATCGTATCGAATGATTTCTCTTTTCGTAGATGTCTGTTGTTGCATCGTAGCTATCACATGTGGAAATTTAACTATTATTTAATAACGAATACTTGGTGTTCTTTCTCATTCTTTCTTACGATGTTCGAAATACTGAAATCCCACATGTGGAGTTTCTTTAAGAAATATGAATATCATGTTGATTAATTTATCTAATTTTAATAATAGTATCCATACATTATATATTGTAATGATTTATATAGAATGCAACATATAACGACAATCATTTCCGTAAAATACCTTTAGTAAGAAAAAGGTAATTATATTTATACATATAATTCTTTGAACGTTTAACAACCAATTTAGGTTATCCGAAGGATTTTTTGAAATCTCAAGTGCATGATCGCTATTAATAGTTATGTGTATTAAGTTATATTTATCGTGTTTCTATTATTTTATTGGTGTTTCTACTTTTATAATCTCCTTTCACTGCATAAAAAGATTAAGAACTGTACGTCGGAGAATTTATGTTTCCTATGTTTTGTTCTGGAACTTAACGAATTCGAGTTCTCTTATCTTACAAATTGGTTTTAAGAGAATTTTTGATATACATTTTGAACAACGATTTTAATATTTTTCTAGGTGTATGTCTGTTTATTCCTCGTTATTTTCTTTTCTCTATTTCTCGAAAGATTTAATATACGCATCGTGTATCTGTCCTCATTATTAGTATTCTCGTTTATAGAATTTTTCTTTATTAGTTTTTAAGTTTATTATAGTTCTTTTATTTATTAAACTAAGTGAGATTTCGCTCTCCTCGACAAACAATCCATTAGGTCTTGGCCTATCAAGTAAATCTACTTGTTTTAAACTTTCTATTGGTAAAGGAAAACTTATTTCTTTTTCGTTGGAATTTAAGGTGTAAATATATATTAACCCGTTGTTATTTTTAACTAATGCTCCTTCTAATATACGTTTATATTTATTGTTCGAGTTTATTTGCGATACAATATTCTATGTTGTTAGAAACATATTATCGCGCCTTATAACCTTTAAAAAAGTTTGTACCTTAAATACCGTTTTCTTCCTTCGGAAATGTATTCGAAACATATGAAAGGTATGTTCTTTGTTATTTGCAAATACCATGTTTTTTTATCAATAATATAATTGTTTCTATTGCTATACACATCAATTATATTATTTTATTTGTCACAACAGGTAATATGGTTTCAATTTTAACAAAATATACTTTATCTCTAAAATCTATTAACAACTTTGCTTCCTCATATCGAAATTATTTGGATTGTATAATTATAGTTATTATTGAAATATCATTTTTATTTAATTTGACGTTCAAATTATCAAATTCGTTTTTTAATTTGTCGAGAGTTTGTATTTGTTTATAGTTTGCAATTTTTATACGACAATCTCGAACTTTTATGACCGTGAATGCGCAGAATTTCTTATTCTTCGTTATTATGTACGATTAGAAAATTTCTAAAAGATATATGATAGATATGTTTTGTGTGTGGATACATGCTAGATGTGTCTATTTCATCATAAACGGTTTGGGTATTATTCTGATCCCTTGAATTCTTTTGTGCTACTCCCTTTTGCTTGAATATAATAAAAGGATCCCGTCAGTACTTTGGTTTCTCTGTATCGTATAATTTCCGTCCAAAGTAACAAAATTCAGTATTCCACGTATGTTCGTCTAAGGCGACAGATTGTGAATATAATATTTGTGAAGAAAATGAAAAAGTGAATAAAAAGTATAAGAAATTAGATAATAGTGGACTATCCTCAGCATCGAAGCGAAAATTAAGAGTTCAAATTACAATATAACCACTTGGAAAAATTCCAACTTTAAATTTTTATGAAATTATGAAATGATCTTTATGAATTTTATGAATGATCTTGATGTACCAAGAAAGTGAGTTCGATGCGCAGTTATTCAAAAAAGTGTGTTTACCAGTTGGTACTAATTGTTTGTATTTCTTGTCATTGTTAATGATAGATATATAATTTAATACTTCACTAATTGTAAGAATTAAAAATACACAAGTATTCTTTGTGAAATCATTTGCAAAATCTATTTCGCTATTTTTTAAGATGTATTCATAATACTTCTACGAAATAATCGATATATATATATATATAACGATATATATTATATAGAACGAAGTATCGATATATATATATATATATATATATATATATATATATATAAATAAATAAATAAATAATGAATGTTTTTTTATTACAATTATAAGAAAGTAATCATACATGTTTTAAATAAAAAGAGGAAAGGAAAATTATATAATACTTATGGTAAAACAAAAAATTTATCCGTTATATTCTTAGTAAAAAGAAATATGAGCTCAGCTTCATGAATATTACAACTGAAATGAAGAATTTTTTATGGTATTTACGAAATTTATCTACACATATGTATGTATATATATGAATGTATAAATAACTTTTTATAGAATGAATGTATGAAATGGATTATTAACAATAATATCTCTGTTCATATTCTTTTATTTTTTTTTAAATTGCGCAATTACATATAGTGATTTATATGATAATTAAATTAGATAGGAAAAAAAAACTATTATTGAGATCATGTATTAGAAATATTAAAATATTTTATTTTATCTTAGTCTTCTATCCAATTACAATTATTAATACAGGATATTTTTATTCATATCGACATAAATATATATAATAATCTTAGTAATATTAGTAAAGGAGCTTAGGCAGTACACAAAGATTGCTTGTATTTTGTCTGAGGTTAGTCAGCTAATGGGAATTTTTATGATAAGTGATTAAATAATTTTATAATTTACATCAGTTACTCTTATTTACTGATATGCGTGCCCTGAGATATCTTGTTACTATATGAAATTTTTCCTCTATGTTGTTCGATTTATACTTTAAAACATTTTTCTTATATCATGCTTTTTTTTATAAATATATTTTTATACAATTAATTAATTTTTGTAAAATGGATATTATTCCGTTGTATGTGTTTCTTGATAAGCTATTAGTTTTCTTTTTAATATTTGCACGATTTTTAGAGCACAACATTTTTTGCTTTTGTGGAAGAAACATTTCGAATAATTGTTATTGTCTAGTTCATTTGAAATGAGGTATTGCATTTGATATTCTACGTTTATTATATTTATTCGTTTATTTATAAAGAGTATATTAGGTCGCTCTGACACAAATTCGTACAACCACTGAATTTTTTCAGTACCCTTCATATAAATTTTTATAATATCAGATAAAGGTATAAAATGTTGCTCGAAAATATCGTATCTTAATTTATAGTGTATATATCCATCTTTCCATTCTAAACCATGACGGTTATCTGTTAAACATCATTAAAATATAATTATTATATTATTTATTATTTAATTATTTATATAAAAAACAAATTTATAATGAAATAAAATAAAAGATTAGTTTACGTACCTCACTCCTATTCTGTCCTTTTGTGATAATTTCAATTCAACGAATGGTGCTAGAAAAATATAATTTTTTATTAATTTTTCTTTTAAATCATCAATGGAAAATTCTTTTAAAACAAATAAATTATTTTCTATTTTGAAGCCTTCTGAAGGATTTGTAAATTTACAAATAATGACTTTTCAATGAAATTAGTGTCAGACATATTACGAGTGTAAGTGCACTGTCTAAGTCTTTTAGACATAATAAAGATGGAGTAACGAAATGTACCTTCCGTGGGCTTTTTGGGAAATGTGGGTAGAAAATGACTGTGGAGGAGAAAATTGGGATAGAAAAGAGAAAAGCCCTCTGAAAAATGGGGATAGACACTTGCGCCTGCTCAAGATTTCACCATATGACAATGGTAATTATAGCAATAATAGTAATAATAATGAAAATGATAAAAATAACGATAATAATAGTAATATAATAATTCAAATAAAAATAATATAAAATAATATGTGTAGGGAAGATGGAGTAACAATTGAACGGTTATTGATTTTTGTTATACTTATAGTTTTCCTTGTATCTACTATATTTTCACGCTTTTTTTATTTTAATATTTTAATATTTTACATATTACTATAATATTTTATATCCGTTAATTTATATCTATGAAGATACAGGATTACGATAGTTTATTTCCTTTTATATATTATTATAATATTCTTCGTAACTATGTAATTCATATATATAAAGAGGAGACAGAAAAATACTCTTGGTTATACTTTTCGTTTTCATTTTATCAAACATTCGGTTAATAAAAAATTCTGCTAATAAAAATGAATAAAAAGAAAGGAAAAATGAATAAGTAAATAAATATAAATATTATTAATTTTCGTATTTATTTTTTACATTATCGCGTTACTTTGTTCGATTTTACATCTCACGTGATTGAAAGAAAAAAGACAAATATTAAATTGTAAGAGATGTGTAAGAAATAAAAAAAAAGAGATAAGCTCCAATGAAATACGGAGGTTTCCTTCCTTTACTTTCGTTGCTTGGTGTATCTATTATGTTCATTCACAGATGGAGCAGCAGGAATAGATAGCTAATGCCGTCGATAAATAATTGTAGCATTTATAATTTATCGATAGATGGTCATGAATTTTATTTAATTATTAATCCGTATAGAGAAGAAATAAAAAACGAGGAGGAAAATTAAAAAGAATGCGAAAGAACAAATGGAATAATAAAAAGATAAGAGAAAGAAAACTTAAAATTTAATAGAAGTTTATCAATCGATGGAATAATAGTAATTAGCTAATTCTTATTTACTAATCTTCCTTGAAATGGTGGCATTATCAAAAGAAGGCAGTATAGATACATAATTTAAATGATGCTAAAATTAGGAAATATTAATTAATTATTTCACTTTTTTCGAATATCTTAGACCGTTTAAAGAATTGTCGATGTGTTTTGGATTAATTGTTAAAATCGTTTAAAATTGTACACTTTATCAACGATTGAATAAGTGTGAATGTTTCTCAATTTGCTTGTAACATTTCTTAAACAAAATAAAACGAGAAATGAACTATAAGATACATCGAGTAGCAAAGAATGTAAGAAAAAAATATCTCTAACGCTAAGGTGAGATTTCGTCTCAAAAAATAGAAAGAATGATTATCGATTTATAATAAAGAAAGAGAAAAAGAATTCTTTCAATCATATGTGAATTCAAAATATAATGCCAGTGATAATTTGTTCCTGCTCGTGAATAAATGTACGTTAACATCAAATTCTATACTGTCGCCATCATTTCGGTTTGATATCGAAAATGTAATATTTTTTCGTTCTTTAGAATTTTTTCTCTCGGAACATACAAATATAGACATAAATGAAACAAAAATTGAGAAATAAACCTGATGAGAATAATCGATTTAAATATCACTAGAAATCTTGAGTAAGATTCCTGAAATATTAGCATTGAAATATATTTGCATAATTCCAATGCAAACGCTTCTTTAGGAAACAATGATATAATACAAATTTCAATAGAACAAAATGTAATGTTTTTGTTAAATCAAAAATGTTAAATATTAAATATATATATATTTATTAATTAACTGTTAATGTTAATTAAAATGTTAAATGTTAAATATATATATTTAATAATTATTATGAAATATATATATATATATTTAATAATAATTAATAATTATATTTAATAGTTTAATTAATATAGTTAAATATATATATACATATTATTTAATAATTAAATATTTAATAAATAAACATTTAGCATATATATATATATATATATATATATATATATATGTATATTTAATGCTAAATATTTATTTTAATGCACAAATTGATTCGTTTTAAAATATAAAATATTCGCTTTAATTCATATATTATTTAAAATAATTTCCTATTAAATTGTATCCAAATAAAAATATTAAACATTAATTTTCATGATAAACTAGAAACAAACTTTAAGGCCAACCTAATACTAATAGTCGGATCGATACCGATACTAATGATGACATTTCATCATTCAATATCAAAGAGTATAATTCAATATTCAATGGAAAATATTGATACATATTGAAATTTTAGGTACTTGGTATCAATTTTCGATACTGATATTTCTTGAATCGATATCAAATCGAAAGTACTTATATCGAATTAATATCCGTTTGAAAATTCATGAAAGTATCGATATCAATTTGATATCTTTGCCGGTGTATTGATAAACAAACGAAAAGTGATTCTGTAGACTAACAAATAAAATTTTAAGAGACAGGAAAGAAAAAAAAGACAAAAAATTGCTCGCATTTAAATTTTCATAAAAATATCAAATGAGTATCGATATTTTTCATATCTTAATGTTATTCGACTTAAATGCTATTCAATACGGCATCACAATTTACGATAAAAATAAAAAGAAAGCAGTCTGGATAGCTATTTGTTGAAATTTTTCGAATAATTTTGATAAAAAAAATTTTTGGAAGGTCACTAAAAGTTTAAAAAGCGTACTTTGCATGCAATGACAAAGGTACATCAAAATATATTTTGAATGTAGCAATGCACAAGAGCATGCGACACCGCATACGGCACCCTGTCGAAGCAATTGCCTGTGTTTATTATTTGTGCTGTGGAATACACGAATTTCATGTTTTTGCGTCACTTTTGATATTTAACTTTTGATATTCAACTTCTAACATAAGAAATTAAAAAACATCGCAAAATTTTCGGATAATTTTAATGAAAATGTCTAAATTTTCTGAATATATTTCCGTAGATATTTATTTCATATATTTTAGATATTTATCACATATTTATTTCTGTAGATCACGTTAATAATCGAAAAAACGGTACGTGAACGTGTAGCATGAAAAATAACAAACAAATTAAACTGATCGCATAAAGGAATTTCAAGAAATTAAATAACAGATGAATTAGTCAAGCAAACCATTGAAATAATACCTAACGAACACATTTGGATATCTAGAGTCTTTATAAAGAGGTACAAGTTTAACATAAGGAAATGGACTAAAAAGTCAATCATAATCCAAGATCTAACTAGAGTTAAAGTTTACTTATAAAAATTTCATGAACCAGGAAGCTAATCCTAGTTTTTTTTCGAAAAAATATGTCCAAAGAAATTATTTTTTGGGTAAACAAAACGAGGATTAATCATTATAATCTGACTACTTCGCTGGTCAGGATCAACATAACAATCATTGCATCCTGTGAATACGATGAAAAACAAAATGATCATGGAAATGTCCTGTATACAGCAATAGACGAAACATAACAATAAATAAACTGCGCAAATAGAAATGAAAATATCGAACGTCACGATATCGATAAGTTTCTAATATGAGTAAATATAATAGCAATAAGAATTATCAATAATTTCTTTATTAATTAAATTATTTAAGAATCTAACTAGACTGAACTGTAGTTCCTATAATTTATCATCGCATTCTTTATTGTTATTGTTGACAGTTATATTACAATGTTGTGTGCAATATTATCGTCCAAAATATTTGAACTACATACATAAATAAGTTAGGTTAAATTACGGTTAATTATTTTTCTAAGATTAATGTAATCAAAGTTATTAAACGAACAGTATTTTTTATGATAATTTTATGTTTTATAATGTTTTATAAAATCAAAGATAGGAAAATCTGTGGGCCTTAAAATTGATTTATTTTTAAGTTAAAAAAAACAAAAGGATATGTGAATGCAACGCAGATTTGTACTGTTTGCGGTAAGACACCGTGTACGCAACGACAACGGTACAATACTTATAGCTGTCAGTGTTCGATTCGTTCGCTAAGAACGGTTTCTTTACCCCTCCCAGGGGAAGGGACTGGTCCCGCCTACAGACATCTGGTTGATTTGGGCTCACTGTTCTAAGGAAAATGTAGTAGTGAAAGAGAGAAAGAGAAGAGGAAACGAGAGACGAGATTTCATTCTTGTTTAGTCGTGACATTCTCCACGATTGCTCACGATTTATTGATAACGATTCATGGTAACTTTTGGACATGCATGACTCACAATTCGTCCATTTATCCGCCAATAATCCTATTTCAAGTAACATCCTTAAACCAATCAGGGTACAATTCAGCCGTATCATTAAAATCCTTTTAACAATCTAGAAGTAAAAATAAAGAAAGAGGGTGTAGGAGAAAAGTGAGAAAGAAGGAGGAAAGAGATAGGAAAGAGATAAGAGAAGAGAAAAAAGAGAGATTGTGCAAGATCTAGTAGCAATACATACATGATAATAAATCCTTCGAAACTTACGAATTTATAATATAATTTATAATATTTTACGATAATAAATGACCTCATATGGCTTTTTGTTAAATTCGTTTCTATAAATGCCATCGAAAAGAAAAATATATAATTCCATTAAAAAAATGAATTTAGATTTTGAAATTTTTCTCACATTTCATTATTTGACCTGCAAAAAAAATTAGCACCATACAATGTACTCCTTCATATCAAATAAATTTGTAAAAAATGTTTTTGATAGGTTCAGTTTCTCATGAGATATTTCAATTTTTTAGATATAGAAGAGATATTATAATATATAATATTATATAATAGAAATATAGAGGAGATTTCAAAATCATTTTTTTTTAAGTGAGATTTTTTGTTTATCGTTGTGTAATATTTTTACAAATAATGGAAATATTTCGAGTGCACAAAGTTTTTGCTACGCCCTGCATATTAATTATCGTCATTAATAGCAGATCCAAATATGCTCTACGACATAAAACTATATTTACCATCCTTATTTGATGGGACGGAAAATTGAGGATATCTATTGCCATCCCCTCTTTCGATTCTCCCCTTTTTGACCTTTTGAGATCAGAGAAAAGTTCACAAAGACAAAATGACATGACCACTTCCTAAACAATCACTATCCTCTCTCTTTTACTATTCTCATTTTCTTAGAAAGCGATGACTAATTCATTAAGTTTCTTTTCTCTCTCTCTCTCTCTCTCTCTCTCTCTCTCTCTCTCTCTCTTTCCCTCCCTCTTGCTGTAACTTCCTATGATTTTCTGAATTTGAACTTGCGCTAGTGAATCTTCCTTTTTTTTTTATGAGAAGGAATATTCTCATGAACATTCAGCCAAGCTAACGAAAAATTTTTCTTCTCGTTTATTTGATTCGATTGAATTCCATTAAATATAAAAATGACTCGTAAACAGTAAAAAGTTAGTGATAAAAGATTTTATCATTATGTTTATTGTTCTAAGAAATATCTTTTTCGTCCTATATTAATTAATAATATTAATTCCGTCCCATCGAATAAGGATGGTAAATATGGTTTTAAGTCGTAGAGCATATTTGGATCTGCTATTGATGACGATGATTAATATGCAGGGCGTAGCAAAAATTTTGTACACTCGAAATATTTCCATTATTTGTAAAAATATCACACAACGATAAATAAAAAATCTCACTTAAAAAAAAATGATTTTGAAATCTCCTTTATATTTCTATCTCCTCTATATTTCAAAAATTGAAATATCTCATGAGGAACTGAACCTATATTAATTAAAATAATTAATTAATATAATATAAAATAAATTTTCAAACAGAGGAAAGTTTTTAATTTTCTTTATCATCGAACTATTAAACTTTTTTCAAACTCTTACTCTTTCTTTTTCTTTCTTCATTAATAAATTGAGTACTAAACCGATTTTGTAGGTAAAAAATAAAAGAAGGATTTATTGTAAAGGATTTTAAGTAGCTCAATAATACCGTTTGAACTCGATTTGCATTAAGAACAAGCATTTTTATAATAATAAAAAAGTTTTCAAAATATAATAATAAATAATATTAAATATATTTATGACAAACAATGTGTATATAAAAAAAAATAGATTAATATTGGAAGTATAATTTTTAATTTAATTTTTTAGATTTATAAAATACAAGAAAACAAAAAGAAATAATTTTACTATTCGTTTTCGTCATTCAAGTTAGATTTAAATTCTACAATACTGAAAAGCAAGGTGTAATTGCTCTTACCCATCGCTTTTACATAATCAAGATATGGTGATATGAAAGTGTAGTACCATTATAGAAGATTAAAAAAAAACTTCAGAATGAATTCACTTTTCTCCCTTCAATTTATTTTCTTTTGAGTTTCAAATTGGAGCATCTCGACTTCTTTACATAGACAAAATTTAAAACAATAATAAATATTATTCTGAATAATTTATTTATTTATTAAAAAAAACAAATTATTAAAATTTTAAATATAAAATTATTGATTGTAATATAATTAGAATGTTATCATTTGTTAAATCAACTTAGTCGTGATTGATTTGCAATAAGAAAAAATGTAAAGATCATAGTAGTAGTAATACAAATAACATGATATAATAATGATAATACAAACGAATCTTTATGTAAAATTATATGAAGTAGAATTTTATAAATCTTTAATGTCTTCATCAATTTATCAATTATTTCCTTTATATTAATCACTTAAGGGCGTAATGTTTACAACTTTTACTTTGTGATTTAGTTTCAATTTCAATTCTAATAAAACATCCAATTGTTCAAATTTTTCTGCATTATGGCAAATCTAAAATATCACTAAAATGTACATAGATAAAATACATAACAGCATATGTGTAATAAATAATACAATTATGTATGAGTGATAAAATATTATGATTAACGTATCTTAAAATATTACCATTCTTAATTTATGTTCTATAGCACCATTAGTTTCTGCATGTTTCCTTTTTTTGGGAAAATTCCTTAACGTTAAATCCAAAAAATCTTTCTATAATCTAAAAAAAAGTAGAAACATATTAATAAATATATTTAAACTTTCTTCTAAAATATATAATACTGCTATTTTATCAGAGATTGTTACTTTTAATTGCTAATAAGAATTTTTTCTAAATAATTTTTCAAATGTAGTAAATTGTTCTTGTACTATTAAAACGTTTTAAATTATTTCTTTTATCATTTTTTCAATTACATAACAAATAAAGGTAAAATTTTCACTTTTTTGCTTCTATAAAGACAGAAAATCTTTTTACATTATTTTCTTGATTTCATATTTCTTTGATCATACTTTCTTTGAAATACAACGTATTTTTGATCAATTAATAAATGATGGTTACATTAATGTCTAAAATACAAATATTACATTTTATAGACAATTCTGTCTATGTTATTATATATTAATATTTGCTGAAAATATTAAATCGTACTATAGATCTTTTATCTCCAATTTTTTTTTAACGATCAACTTGTGCATTAGATGATGTTTTATTTGTATTAATGCTATATGTTTTAAGTTTAATATTTCGAAGGAATTTTTGCCTTTTATGGAATTAACGTTTCGCAAAAATGATTTACTTAGTTGAAAATTTCATTTCATATAAAATTTTTTATTATTTTTTACTGAATCTTTTTTTCTAAAGCTTCTGGAACATCAACATCATCAAATTTAAAATCATCCATTGAAAAAACATGTCACTTTGTATTTTAATATTCTCTTTTCAACTGCTAACAGAGCTTTCACTACTATCATATCATCTCTCATATTCTGATCATTATCTTCTTTAAATAATACTCGAGATTCTTTTTTTTTGTTATTGATAATTGTACATGAGATAAACGCAATAAATTGATTTTCATTTATTATTTCTAACAATTTATTACCTGTATCGAAAGTTTCAGTAATATTATTCTTTTTATGTTTGTCATTCTGTTTTGATGGATCTTTTGGATAAATAAAATTTTGTTATTTAATATTTTTTGTACTAGACAAGTTATTCTAGTTAGTCTATTTATTCTAATCTATTTAGTATATTTATAGCATATGTTATCTATCTCTTGACTTCATTGCTCAATTTGTGTAATTTCTTCCAAATTGATTTCAAAATCATCTTCAAAGAAATCATTTGTAGCAAGTGGTCTTTCATTATCTTCTAACCTTTATTATATAGAAGTCTGTATTTTCTGAACAGTTTCTGGAATATTCAAATACTTAAAAATATTATAAATATAAATAATATATTCTCATTGATTATTTTAAAAACTTACAAAGTTCAAGTTAGAACATTTTCTAATGCATTGATGACGGATAAATTTTTTATTTCTCCGTCAATTTCTCTAAATTTACTTTCTTTTAATAAAATAATACCTCCTCTGTATATCATAAGTCCAGTAATCATTACTTTATATCCAGGTAGTCCTATCAAATTATAATATTATTAATCCTTTTATAAATTAATGTAATTATTTAAAACTAAAATAAATTATTTAAAACTATAATATATCTCTGTAATAAAATCGTACTTACAAAAGTATATTAAGAGTAAAATGATTCTGACAGTGCTAATATCTTACCATTTGTTAAATGTAATAGAAGTATCCATCTTGTTTTTGGCACTTATAATTAAAGTTTTATATTTTTTTACTTTAATATTTGGAATAATATTTCCAATTCCTTATATTTTGAAGTTGATATGTAATACATTTTTTTCCATCTATATTAATGTTAGAAAATAAAATACTATTAAAATAAGATATTATGTATAAAATATGATATACAAATAAGATATTATATATAAAAATGCAAATAAAAAATATATACATATATTGCATATATAAAATTTTGTATAAATATACCTGGAGGATATCAGTTCCATGTAATATTGTACATATTTGTTAATTAAGATCACTTGGTAAATATCCATTGTCATTATTTATCTCACGTAAATCATTTAATTACAATTGCGTTTTTACAAATTTTGTTATTTTAGTATACATTCAACATCCTTTTTTACTTCTTTATATTTTTTTATTCTTAATTTCTCTGAGGATTAATTTATTTATTTATTGAATATATTGCATAAGAATAAAATAAAAGAATTTTTTGTTTGTTTTTCTTTTTTTTATTCGATAAAGTATGGTATGCATATATCTTGTATGTATATCATTTTATAGCTAAATGATTAAATAAGTAGTTAATTATAGAACACAAAAAATAAAATCATTTTTTTTCATTTAGCTCATAAAATCATTCTCTTTATTTAGCTCATAAAATCATACAAGTTAGTTGTAACAGTATATTAGAATTTTAATCTGTGCGGATATTGACTGCTTCGCAAACCAAACATAGCTGACAGATAGGTGAATAATAGTTTCTTGTCTGGATTTGTTTTAATTTTTTCTATTATAAATTTATCTAAAGTTTTCTGATCCAATTTTCTTTGATTGCTTGGTTTGTATTCATCCATCTTTTTACTGAAAATATCGCCTTCCTCCTTTTTTAATCGTTTTTCACGTTTTCTTTTGAAATATTCATCATTTATGTGTTCTGGCAATTTGAGTCCAGAAAGATCAATGCGTGTAGAAGTTGCTATGACATAATTCTGATTTATTCTACGCAGTGGACAACCATTGATCAGAAATGGACCTAAGACATAAAGGTTTATATTTATTAAATCTTGCAGAAATAATAAAAATGATAGATAATATTAATCGACGAGTAATTACATTTCTTTTTATTCCTATATATATGTGTGTGTGTGTGTAAACACATATTTATATATACTAAATATGATTTTGATTTCAAATGATTACTACTGCATTATAAGTATAAAAAAGGATATTATTTAAAATAACTATGTTGATCTTCATAACTCAGGAAGATCACGGATAAAATAATTGTTTGTATGCACAAATTTTTTTTTATTAAACTTTATTTTTATATTTTGATATATATCCGAAATTGATTCAGACATTTATGAATCGATACTCTGCATACATAACTCATTATTTATATATGTTTTCATGGATAGAATTAGCAAAAATATATTAAAACCAACCTGTAACTAACAGTAATCCAGTTTTCAGCTGTTTCAAGAAAACAACACGTTTCCCTTTGTGAGACCCAGCTAATAAAATGCAAATAGTTCCTGGAACTAAAGTAGATCTTAAATATCGACGATGTTCACGGAAGCATTTTTTGGCATGCTTCTTTGTAATAGGATCTGCTGTAGGATAATTGGCCCTTCTTTTCTTTAATAGAACAATTCGTTTTTCTCCATTCTTATCACCGCCTATTTCTTTTTCGCTCGTCAATGGTTTTTTAAGTTTTACCTATAAAAAAAAATGTTCATACATTTTTTCCAATGTTTTATAAATAGATCTTATTATATTACTTACGATTTTAGGTGTTTTTTTATCTAGAAACTTATAAATGGCTTTTTTGTGGTACATGCGTGAACGACTAAATCTATAAACACCATTTCCTAGATCATAATTTCTTGGTTTCTTAGATTTCTTCTTGGCTTTCTTTTCGGTTGAAATTGTAACTGCTGGCGCAGTATTTTCCAGTGATATTGTTTTTGTATCCGACATCTGTGAAAACATCGAAAATTTTTATAAGCAGGTTACTATAACCATAGTTTATAAAATCTATTATCAAAGTTTAATCTTAGGTTAAGTTTATCCACATTGGATTATAAAGTTAAATAAATAGCGTAAGATAAAACGTAAGATTAACATTCCGGCAACGTATTTTTACAAAATTGCTTTGGAACAAAAAGATATATTCCAAATTATAAAAAAACGTTATAAAAAGTAGAATTTTTTCAGTTAATAATTGAAACACTTACGTTAGAATTATAGAATTTCTTGAATAATTTTTGATTCACATCTGAGTCACATTCTTAGCATACGTCGAAAAGTTAAGAGATCCAGCATTACTCCATCTATCGGGCCTTCAATGAATGAAAAATTTAAATATCGATATCTATAATATATCGAGAATTCTTAAATATCTTTGCAAAAAAGAGCGGGAAAAGCATTATACTTGATAGAAAAACATGATTATTTTCAAATTTAGATTTTATATAAAATGTAAATGAACTATAACAATGTATTGTGTACACAATAACAAACTAAATAATAATCAATGTACTTCAGCTGAAGTCAAGGAAATATTTTTACGAATTTCTATACTTTATAAGTTTAATAGTTTTAAACTTTAAATTTAAAAAAAGTTAATATATATATATGGTTTATATATAATTATGAATTTTTCTAATTGAAGAAATTAAAAAACCGCGAAATTTGGGATGTTACAAGAGAAGATTATCGCGATAAAAATAAAAAAATAGGAGTTTCCTATAAAAAAATAGGAGATGGCTATACCTTGAAAATTTTCGAATAATTTTAATGAAAAATATTTCGATATATCTTAATTTTTGGTATATTTCGATATAATTTAAATATTTTGAACATTCATATTCATTCCCGATGACGATGAAGATCGAAAAAACGTTATGTAGGCGCAACGGTCCTTCCTGTACTATTCGTTTGCAGTAACGCATCGTGCACTCAAGAACGTAGTATTGCTCCAATGCATTACTATATTAAAAATATATATCCGCTGCAATGCACGTTCAACGAACAACAAAACGTCCAGGACATATAAACATGTATCTATTCACTGATATCATCAATTTTCAGTAAAAACACAAATGATGTAAATTTTCATTTATACGTATGATAAAGTACTAGTTCATTCTAAGTTAAAAAAATTGTTTGATAATGGTACGATGAATTGTTTAAAAGAGATAATATATAAAAAGAAATCCAATGATATGATCAAGAATCAAATAGTTCCTCAATCAGCGTATATCGTTTCTTATCTTTATCCTAATTAATATCATTTAGGGTATTTGTATTCTGGTCATAGAAAAATATATTTTTGCTTGAGAAAGGAAAAGATATCAATGGTACATCATATTCCATTAATTAAATCGTCAGGATTTTATGTAAAAAGGAAGAAAAGTATAAGTAATATAAGTAATAAATATATAAAAATATTGCAATAAATTATGTGAATCGTAAATTTGCTTGTATAAAGTATTATCTGTAATTGTAATGTTCGTTCTGAATGAACTTTCATATTTAGATTATAATTTTCTAATGGAATAGAAACATGCGTATCTAAGGTTTCGCATAATTTAATATAGTTTTATATTGAAATAGAACTTCTTCCTCATATTATATATGGAGACATATGTATAACATATTTTTTTTATTTATCGAACGCACGTACTTACACATATATATTTTAACTCTTTTCAACTGTTCTTCGTATTAATACGAAATGATTATAGATTTTTTAAGATGAGCACACTTTTGCGCATAAAGATTAACAAAAATGTATTGCTTATATATATACATTATATTTATACAAGAGGCGTTTAAAAAATAATATCCTTTTTGAAATTACGACAATACAAATGATTCAATTTTTTAAATATTTCAGTTTTTGGGTCATATTGGTTCAGGATCAGTGGTATCAATTACAATCACCAGGTGTTGGGAGGAATGTTACATGAGAAGAATCGTGTCGGAGTCATTTTTGATCCGGATCGTGCAGAATTCTTTTTAGGAAGATTCGACAAATACTCTCTCCTAATTCGCTTCTTTCATACAAAATTTGTCGAATATTTTTCTAATTTACGAACCTTGATTTATCTTAAGATCTCTTTCCTCCAGTTGCATTTTCTATATTTCTATTCCTTAACATTCCCATGTCATTGAGAACGTGGAAAATCTTGGCGGTAAAGTATTTAATAGTTTCGACATGATCGCGATCATAGTTTTTCATCTTCATCACACAATTTTTTGGAAATCGTTCAAAACTTTTCAATCTACGTTGCGATGGACTCCTCGTCTTTTATGCGAAACTCATAAAATTCCTGTCAGCAATGTTGTTTCGTATTTTCAATTGTTTCACCATACAGTGTACGCAGCTCTCTCTGTATTGTTTTTGGTGTCAGGAATAATTTACAATATTTATATGTAATAACTGTATATGATCATACTAAATATGATCACGGTGATTCTCGACTATTCTTTTTTCCACTGTATCGATTCTTTTTTAGATGTAGTTTTATCAGACTCAACTATCTTGTCAACTCTTATGCTTCAAAAAAGAATAACACACCATACTTAATCTTGTAAGATTAAACAATTTCTTTATTTCCATGATAAAAAAGAACATTCAAACAATGCGATATTATTGAAAAAATTTTTACTAATAAATTCGAACAAGAGCAATAAAAGATGCGATAAAAACGTTTTAGCACAATATTTTAGAATAACAAAAACGTGTTAACCCTATAATCTGTTGGTCTAAAATGAAGACTATACTAATTAATATGAAATAAATAAAACAATAAATGTTATCAGGTATTACAGACGCACGTACAAAACAAGAACCGAATAAGAACTAACCATTTTAGACGAGAAAGGAGAGCAGCAACTAAAGTTTAAATATAAAATACAAAACGAAAAAAGAAAGTTAAGCATTGAGTGATAGCTTAATGAACTATATAACAATTTAAGTACACTATATAGATGCATATATATATTTACAACATGCATCCTCATAATACTGTATGCTGATAATTTCTTCGATAATCAAAAAATTTGTACTAATGGTTAGTAGTCGAGGTGTAATGTAAAATAATTTCCGTATTGATGAAATTTTTCTACTGTAAAAATTATTTATCGATTTGTGAATACCATTGTTGAATTTTTGTTAGAGTTTCTGATGCGTATTGTAGAAATCGTTTTGTTCGTTTAGTTCAAAATGAACTAAAATTTTATCGCTTTTTAACTGTTTCTTTATTTAAAACGCTTCTTCATACTTATTAGACCATTTA